AAAGAATTTTCACAGCGAATGGCTACCCTTTGAATGTAATTAAAAAGACCATCAGAGGTGTGAGATTAGGTAAAAATATTGAAAAACGTCCTCCTAATCCTCTTGTAAAGAAGGTATACGTTTCAATGCCTTACTATGGTCAATGCTCGTTAATTTTGGCTAACAAAGTGAAGAGTATTCTCAAAAATCCGGTTAAAAAAGTTATCTTTGGATTTGCTGCTCAAACACGAATTTCAAGTTTATTTAGCAGAACATTTAGGACCGAGAAGGACTTGAAGAAAGTGGTGTACCAGTATGACTGTAACGGTTGTTATGTCGGACAGACTGGAAGAGGAGTTGAAGTGAGAAAAGATGAACATTTAAAAGCATTCCAAGGAAGAGGTTTCTCCAAAATTGCTGAACATTCATTTAATTTAAACCACCAGAATGATTGGAATCATAAAATTCTAGCACTGGAATCAAACGACTTCAAAAGAACGATAAAGGAGAGTTTGCTTATGGACTTAGTGGAGAAGAAAACGGGGAAGAATGTCTACTCTCAAAAAAGCTTTCAGTTGAAGATCTTTGGATGAATGCTAGTGACACATACTTTTATAACAATACATGGAAGTATCGGGCATCATCAAAATTTAAAGTAAGCAAATGGTTAAAGAGAGGATTTTTGAAAACCTAATTGATCTTCTAGAATCAACAAATAATTTGAAATTTGGATAAAGCAAAGATATTTATTTATTTCATGGAATTATCTCTCTAACAAAATTTTCAAAAAAGAAGAGCTAGAATTTGAAATGAATAATTAAAATAAATTTTGAGAAATTACTTTGACACCGACATCTGTACGACTGAAATCAAAAAATGAGATTATTGTTATGAATTACCTTTCTAGTTTAACTGTTGGAATTATTTTCATAGAAAGGTAATATATTTTCCTCGTACACGACTAAATTTTTTTCTCCTTGAACAATTAATTTCATACTCATTTTCACTAAATGTTTCTAATATTTTTTTACAATGGTCTGGATGTATAACTTGTAATGGTAGAGCACAAAAAGCACACCGAAATTCTAAATAATTCAATTGTTTTAACTGAGTAAATGCAGTTCGAAAATTATTATTGTCAAATATCCAATTATGATTCTGTTCATTTTTATTATTTTGATGTTGCAGATAGGTAGAGAAGAGCAATCATTTCTGATCAAAACAAAATAAACGCGATCGAAAAACCTTTTGTTTTAATGAAGTTATAGGACTTTTACTGAAAGTCCACTAAACAAATAAGTCAAAATCTGTTCACAAAAGGTACGTACGTTCCAGATAAGCTAGAATTCTTGATCGATATTCAACACCCATCCATGTTTCTCTGTCTTTTTTATCCATTAAATCATGAAAGCGTTCATAGTGATGTATAAAATTAAGTTTATTTGTAGTCTCAGAATTTACATTATTCAGCATAAACTCGCTAAGATGTTTTTACTATCTTCTTACTATTTCTTTCGAAACAGTATATTTACGTCTTGTTTGCAAGTCTGTCAGCCGCTTCCTGTGCACTTTTGAGAATTTGATGTGTGGGTGGTACCGAAAACTTATAAATTTCAACAGCACGCTGAAAATTCTCTAAAGCTTCTCTTGGTTGCGCTTTTTTGTTGTAATATAAACCTAACGAATAATAAGACATGGCTACGTATGGATGTTTCTCAGGCATTGTTTCCTTACGAATGTTTAATGGTAACATTAAATTTTTATAGGCTTCATCATAATCTGCCGTTTTAGTTTGAATACAGCCCAAACAATTGTAAGACATGGCTGTATCCGCGTGCGTTTTTCCTAATATCTTTAATCTTATTGCCAATGCTTTGTTGAAATAATCAAGCGCCTGATTATTATCTCCGCGACGCATGTGAAGCCATCCAACCTCGCCATATGATTGTGCAAGATCTAAATTATGATCATTACTCGACATGCGTGTTTGTAGTTCTCGACGTCGAATAGCTTCATTACAAACGTTTTCCGAGGACACATCTGTCTCGTTCCAGACACGTTCGGAAGTCTCAGAACATATGGATCATAGGTGATCAACTACGCTGATTATCATGGCAATATTTGTCTCATTCCTCACTCAATCACAACTTCAGAAAAGTCAATTTGATGAAAACCCGATTATTCGCCTGTTACCGTCAAAAATCAAAAACCGTATATTTCACTCATTTCTTGTCCAAAAAATTCAAAGTTTCAGGAAAGTTTTCAGAATAGGCCATAGAATGTGGATCGAACAGACAACATTAAATAGGGTTTCTAGTTTATGCATACTATTTTTTAACAGATCTCTGGAAATGCCTCCAACGAAACCAAAGTTCAGATTCGATTTTTCGACCAGTTCCGCATTCTATGACTTTTGCTAATCATTCCCTGAAAGTTTGAGTCTTTTTGGACGAAAAATGAGTTAAATATCCGGTTTTCGATTTTTGACGGTAACACGGGAAAAAGCGGTTTTTCACCAAATTGGCTTTTCTGAAGTTGTGGTTGAGCGGGGAATGAAACAAACGTTGCCATGATAATCACCGAATTCGATAAATCTCGAAAAAGCACACTTTTGGTTCCAGAAAAACATTCTGAAGGTCAAATCCGAATTTCTCTACTAAACCTTCAGACAACGATGAAATTAACGTTTTTCGTCTGCATTTATCAAAAGTGCCAATAAATTATATGCTTAGATTGCAAAAAGACGTTAAGCATTTTTTCGGTTTATAGTTCAAAAGATTCTTAAAAAATAAATTCATTCATGTGATGTTATGTAAAAAGTTTCACAATATGACTAACCAGAATTTTTAGGTTTTTGGCAGTAAACGTCTGTCGAGTTTTTCACATAGAAATGTGGATATTTCTTGCATACTAGACCTGCATTATTCAGTTTCTTGAAGTGACAACTGCTGGTTTATCGCACATCTTCACACGCTCAGAGAAACAAAAGCTTTTCGTTCTAGACAAGCGTAAAAAGCCAGATAAATAGTTATACCAATACCCTTTTATACACATATCGGAGCCGTCACTCCAGTTACTCCGAAGCGTCACTCTTCATTACTTTCTCATCCAAAACACACCTTTTCAATTTTGGTTTCTTATACTTTGCAATATAGAATGAAAAAAGATCATTATTTTTTTCAACTTTTTTAACATTATTTTTATAGCAGACGACTTTTTTCTCTCACATATCAATCTTTTTACACAGGTTATTGGATTATTCCAATACGAATACAGCACAATGTTTGATAGAATATTTTTATTTTTATTTTTATTATACTTTAATTCGTACAATTATTATACAATTAGATAGCTAAACGTTTCAACGTTTATCAACGTCTTCATCAGTAGCAACAAATTTTAAAAAAGCTTTTTTAACATTGAAATCAAAAATACACGTCTCTAGTTAGATGTTAAATCTACAGTTATGGCCTTTGACGAACAATTTATTTCTAACTATACATTTCTCTTTTTTGCCTTTTTTTTCCCCTTATTTCTTTCTGTCTATTCCTTATTTTTTTTGTCATATATGACCCAACATATGACGAAGAACTAAAACGAACAGTCAAAATGAAACGAAAAGTGAAATGAGATGAGATGAAAGAATTTCACTTCATTCATCTCTTGTTTCATTTCATTTTGACTGTCCGTTTTAGTTCTTCGTCATATGCAGAGATGTGCGCCGCCGCCGGTCATTTTTTACTCGCCGCCGCCGCTGAAGTAGGAGAAAAATTTGCGACTTCCGCCGCTGCCAGCGGAGAAAAACTGTTCTGACTTCCGCCGCCGCCGCCATGTCGTTAAACTTTTGTCGCCGCCGAGGAGGGAGAAAATTTTTTTCCGAAAATTTTGACTATTTTTGTTAGTACGTTCTTACCCTAGGCATCTAGCGTGCAGCGCGTTTTTATCTTTTCGTATATGGCAACGTACAGTACGCGAAGAACGTGCCAGAAATGATAGAGAACGTTGTTTTACTTACATTATGAGATTCGCCGCCGATAACTAATATTTACACGCCGCCGCCGAAAACAGAGGAAGTTTTCATAACCTCGCGCCGCCGCCGCCGCTGAAGGTACAGGAAATTTTCATAGCCTCACGCCGCCGCCGCCCATGGTAAAAGTTTCATTCGCCGCCGCCGAAAACTTTTTATCGGTGCACATGTCTGGTCATATGTTAGGTCATATATGACAAAAAAAATAAGGAATAGACAGAAAGAAATAAGGGGAAAAAAAAGGCAAAAAAGAGAAATATATAGTTAGAAATAAATTGTTCGTCAAAGGCCATAACTGTAGATTTAAAGGTCGAAACGTTTAGCTCTCTAATTGTATGATAATTGTACGAATTAAAGTATAATAAAAATCATATCAATCTATATTTCTTTTTGGCTATAATAGTTAGACGATATCCTGCAACATGATATCGTCCATTTAACTTGTTGGACAATATCAGGATATCGTCTAACTCATTTACATCTAGTCACTCTCTCTTCTTTTAGGAATGGCTGTTAGTGATGGACAATATACGCAATTAGACGAACAACTACTTTCATCCATAAGAGATTGGAGGGCAGAAGCTGTACTTGTACAATTTCTATTTAGTAACCAGAATAATTACCCTTTAATAGAAGATCTTAAAAGCTGTCATGTTGAAGTGTTAGTGAGGATTGAAAAACGCTTGACAAATACGCAAATAAGTTTCCTCGAACAATGTGAGTACACACCGTTCTGAATATCTGTTTCTTGAATAATGATGTTCAAAACTGCTTTTCGTAAAAAATTGCCTATTATAAAGTATTCATCTTACTTTTAGTTTGCAAGGAATTGTCCTCCCATGAGGACTTTTTAAGCAACTATCGAGCGATATAACTCGATATTAGTGAAAAAAATCGGCAATATCCCGATAAATATCCTGTTTGACGCGATAACTTCACTATCGAGATCTATAGGCCTACTTCGATATATCATGCTATATACGTTGTCGGAATAAGCTTCCTACCTATTGCGATAAAGAATAGGTGTCTCGATACAGCTAGTTAAAATGTTATCACTCTATATCGAGACAGAATTATTGTGTAGATAAGGCTTTCATTCATCTAGATAAAAAAATATTGAAGTAGATCGCGATAAGAGACATAGCTCGCTGTAGCGATGAATCATTGCCTCCCGCCAGAAAGACTCTGGTTATCGCAATACAAACCCATACCTTGTTTTTATCCAAATACGGATGAGTTACGATACATCTATGTATACTGTTGATCGTGATAAGTATGCTGTTTATCACGCGACGTATACTGTACCCCGATACGTCTTCTTAAGTTCTATAGCGCTAAATCCAGATACTTTGAGTGTCGAGATAGTTGCATTTATCGAGATTATATTTATGTTGCAGCTTATTAAGATAACCTTTTTTATTCTAATGTATTCCGACAGTCAGATCTGAGTTTCAATGCGTTAAATCTCGGATCTTAGATTGGCCCAGTTGAATCTCAGGTTGGACGATATTCTAGTTTGGACGCTGACATATATATAAGGTGCCAATAACTCGAATTTGCAAAACTATCTTTTTTACTTTTATTTATACACGGTTGGATAGAGCTCGTCGAGCTGGGTAAGAAAAAGTGGTTTTTAAGTTTAAAAAGTTCTGTTAAGGAAGAAAAATTGAAAAAATTCGAAGGATCTAAATTTCGAAAAACCCTTCGGTTTCCAAAAACGTCGCATTATTTTCTTTTTCGTTCTTCTAACTTATCGAAAGTATTTTTTTCGGATTCAGCATTAAAAACTGAGTATCAGAATGATGCTTAGAAGAGTTAGAAGAACGAAAAAGAAAAATATTCAAATTTTTTGAAACCTAAGGGTTTTTCGAAATTTTAGACTTCGAATTCTTTCAATTTTTCTTTCTTAAAAAAATTGTTAAAAAATTAAAAACTACTTTTTCTTACTCAGCTCGACAAACTTTATCCAACTATGTATAAATGAAAGAAAAAAAATAGAGTTGCAGATTGGTATATCTGGATAGTACTCGACACTGGAAAATTTAGCGATAAAAAATTTATCATATCCGTTGTCACACTGAGATGTATCGGCAAGGCATCGATATACTGGGATATGTCTGTCTAAAACCAGCATCGGCACATATCGCCCTGTAATATTTATCTCGACATATCGCAGTGTGACAACGGATACGAAAATTTTTTTATTGCGGAGAAAACGCTTTTTTCTATCGGAAAAGTCCTCATTGGCTATATCAAAATAGGCCTCTAGCATTCAGATAGAGATATACATATATCTCAGATATATGTCTATTGACATTTGCTTCACATTTGTCACGTTTTCTTTCTGTGTAGAAGAAAACGAGGAAAGAGAACAGTTAGTGGA